GAAGATCAGAAAATCAAAGAGGCCAGCCACTAGAGAGTTCTAACCTCTACCAATGCACAGACTGAATGGGTGATCTATTGAATATTTGACTACACTGCTCTCCACCAAACTGAAAGATATTTTTCTAAACAGAAAGCTCATATGTTTATTTCTAAATAAACATATTTTTAATATTTTAGGATATTTCTAAAATAAGATATTTGACTATTTTCTAGAACTTTAGTGATTGATATATATATATATATACATATATGTAAACTTTTTAAATTATTTGCATTAAAATCTTTGTAGAACTAGGCAGAGAATAATTCAAGATTATGTGGCTTTCTATAATCATTCACCGAATATTACCTTGTATACGTCAAAGTTTAGAAATCAGAACCACAGTGATCTGTGGGTGGTCTGTGATCTGGTGATCAAAGACCACTGCTTCATATTTCATGACCCCTTCCAGAAATGCGGTCAAGATGGGTCAGTCAACCTTTTTTTTTTTTTTCACTTAAATTATGTGACCGTCCTCTTTCACCTCTGACCCAGGTCATCCAATGTGTGCCATTTGTCACAGAGTAGAAGAGTCAGTGTGGAGGTTTAAGTGTACCCTTTCCTAGTTCTGGAAATACTCAGAAAATACACTTTAATGGTGTTAGTGCCTGCATTGTCAGTTTTCGAGATGAACAATTTATTAATTAAGAACTGGATATAGTGCATTAAAATCCCATAACCACTAAAATATTGCCAATCATTTAAAAAATTCCAATGCTATGTTATAGTAATTAAAAACACAGGATATGGACAAGTAGACTATTTCAGAATAAAAACTTGCTGAAGACTGAAAAGAAAGTTTAAAAAAAAAAACCTTTCCACATAGTTTGCAGAAGACTGAACAGCTCATGTCTTCACTGACGCTTGATTTTTTATGCTTAAATAAAATGTCATTACATTTTCACCAACATTTAAAGTACCTTTTGTGCTAGGAAAACTGATGTTTCATGAGCCCTGTTTACTATTGATTTAAACCACACAACATATCTCTACATGGTCAGCACAGATCAAATATCAGCCCATAGTTTTGGCACAATTATATATTTAGAATATAGAAGTGTTTTCATCAATCTGTCATATTTATTGGATACCATTTATGTATCATGAATGTAAATTTTAGTAAGTTAATTCACTGTGTCAAAAAGCTTAGAAGAAAGATTAAGGAGTAATTAAAGCTATTAAAAATATAGAAGGATGCCTAAATTTTCTGCAGTCGATAAGTGTAAGAGCTCTATGAACAGAGGAACTTAATAGCAGAGATGATTCAGAGATCTTCAAGTGGGCTAGATTAGGCTTCAATTAGACATGTTTTAATTTTAGGTTTCCCTTTTTTTTTAATTTTACATGTCCATCCCAGTTCCCTGTCCCTCCCTCCCTCCCTCTTACCCACTCTCCCCCTTCACATGCACCCTGACCACCCTCCCCTCCCATCCTCCCACCCCAATTCCACATGTAGTTCAATGCCATCCAGGTGGGGTCATGTAAATCTGTCAAGTCATTTGAAGTAGGGACTAGGACTTCTCTCCTGTCTCTAGGTTAAGGGAGTATCCCTTCATGGGGGATGTGTCCACAAGGTTCTTTTGTGCACCGGGAATACATCCTGGTTCCACTGTCTGAGGTCCCTTAGACTGCTCAGTCCTTCTAACTGAGACCCATGTTCAGGGGGTCTGAGTCAGTCCCATGCTGGATTCCCAGCTATCAGTCTGGGGGCCCATTAGCTCCTCCTTGTTCAGGTCAGCTGTCTCTATGTGTTTCTGTAGCCTCCCTCTGCATCTGGATTCTAGTTCGACTCAGTGTTTAGTTGTGGGTGTTTGCTTCTGTTTCCAACAGGTACTAGATGAGGGTTCCATGATGGTGGATAAGTTAGTTGTTTATCTCACTATCAAGGAAGGGCATTTATGGTAGCCTTTCCACGGTTTCCCATTTTTAATAGCTGTGATTTTATACAGAAAAATTGTTGAACTGTTTTTCAAGGTTCTGATTCCTTGTAAAAAAAATATAAAAATAGAAATAGTTTTTGTTTAAGACCAGGTTTTGTTATGTAGGCCTCCCTGCCCAGGCACTTGCTGGCCTTAAACTGAAGCAGTCCCCTCCCTGAGCCTACAGAGTGCACCAAATTATATCTTTAACAAATTGTTATTATTACTAAAAGAATTTGTGAAAATAATATCCTTGTACCATAATAACTTTTAACAAATGGAATCATCAGTATTGGTTGTTTTTAAGACTAAATTGCAGGGTGTGTAGCTCATTATCCCAGAATTTGGAAGCTGAGGCAGCAGGATCATTGTTAATGGGAAGACAGCGCGTGTTATACTAAATTTAAGATAGCCTAGGCTTCAGGGTGATCCTAAGACTTTTTTTTAAATAATAAAATTTGAAATAGAAGTACTAAACCAAAAGAGAATGTCTGAGAAAGTAAAGAGGCAATAACTTCTGCATAGATTTTACTATAATATGTGACCATGAATAGTGAAATTTAAGGTGAAGGTGGAGAACAGAGGCAGATGATGGCAACTCATTTACATTCAGATATAAGATGCTTGGATATTTTACTGAATAAGATAAAAAAATATTTTAAGAACTTTGATCACTGGATTGGCACATAAGTGAGAGCATAAACTTACATTCAGAAAGATTGTTAAGCCGGTATATGGTCAATTCAAGAAAATATAAGAGTTGATCTGAAGCAATTCCAAGGGATCAGAGCAACATTAAACTCATTGAAATTTATGAGAAATAGAAACTAGTAAAAGTACAGAATTGACAGGAGAGGCATTTTAATGGCTGTGTTAAAGAGGATGTTGAATGAAGAAACATAAAAGGAAGTTAAATTTTATTTATTTAATGTGGAACTTGAATGTAATAAAGTGGGGTATGAACAGCAAACTTGTTGAATAGCTGAGGTCATTACTTACAATGGAAAAGACTGGAAGGGTCAAGTTGGTTGGATTGAAATTAAGAGTTTTTTGAGTAAGCTGAATTGGCATGAAATATTAGATATTTAAGCAGATATATTGAACAGGCTATGAATGTACAACTATAGACTTCAAGAAATTCTATGACTAGAGGTAATTTTGGACATCTTCAGCATACATATGGAATTCAAACCATGTGTCTGGATCGTATAGCAAAAAAACTAGAAAATTGGGAAAAATAGAAGTCACTGTCTGAGTACTGAAGTTTCAATGGCTGGAGATTTTAAAGGTGAATAATACAGGGGAAAAAAGACAAAAATCAGTGGTATAGGAAGAAAATGTACAGTTTTAATTTAGAGATCAAGTGAAGAAAATATTTAAAATAATAAGGAATTAAAATGCATCAAATAATAGTAAGTAGAGTTTAAAAACTACGTTTTTGTTGATGGAAAAGATAGAAGAGAATCCTAGAACTGAGCTGGTAAGCAATAGAAAAATGAGACTCAGAGCTCAACGGAATTGGACTTCATTAAAAACACTATCATTTTTGCCAACCATAAATTCTGTTAGCATAAATGGATACACATACACACGCATTTCAAGGTTTATAGCCTCATGTTCTCATTTTCAAGGTATCACTGTTGCAGAGCAACATTCCTAAATGTTTGGATTTTAAGCATAGAGGGCATTATTATTAATTCTTATTTGAATTCACTGCCAACCTCTGTGGCTTCTTTGGTTTCTTAGTACCACACAGCAGATGGTAAAATAAATGGAAAGCACAGTTCAGTATTCTTTAGTAGCATAGTGTAACAGCTCTAGATGTAAAAGGGGCAAGGAGATTCTGTGTTATATGCAGCATGTTAGAAACCTCTCCAAGGTACTGAGCTGGTTTTCCTGTTAAAGAAAATGCTTTCAAGTCACTAGGCGTCAAAAAGTGGAATAACTTTATTTTTACTTTAAGTATTAAAATGTTTTGCTGAGGGTTTTGATCATCCACTCTGCATATAAGATGGAATTTAACTTATCTGTTACATTATTAGAGCCAAGGACAGCAAAGAAGTAAAGCACAGTGTAAAGTTTAAAACTACAGTACACACAACACACACACACACACACACACACACGGGGGGGGGAGATCATATATTCTCAGGGGGCGGGGAGGGGTTAGCTTTAGACACCCTGTCTTACTTGTATGCATTGTGCTTTCTTGTGTTGGGGCACAGGAGACTGAACCATTGTGAGGTCATTATTATTGTGAGAGCAACTCTCAGGAGCATCTGAGATAAGTTGGGTGGAGTGGGAGGGTGGGGAGCACAGGTATACTGACTTCCTTTAACTGCCTTATCTGCTCCCTCTAGCTTCTAGGTGACTGATAGAAAAGTGTAAAATCCCCGCCCTAGTAGTAGTAGTAGTTACTAGGTACTGAAATGGGCGTGGTTTGCTATATAAGACACCTGAGTTTTGTTGGGCCCAGCAAGCTGGCCCTTGGGCAGAGTCTGGAGTCCCGAAGCTTTCTGCAGAGCCACTGAGTCCCCGCATCCTATTTGGGAATCCTCCCGCCAGCCCGGGTATTTAGTAGTTTTAGGAGGGCCTGCTGAGCATGTGTAGGGAGCATCGCGCATGCTCTGTAGAGTGGGCAGGTTTAGCAGGCGCGAGCTGTGGGCTTTACTACTGTTCGCCCGCCTCCCCCGCCCAGCACGCCCCCTCCCCTTCTTCCCGCCCCTAGCACGAGTTTCTCGCAACCACCCCGCCCCTCCTCCCCTATCCCCCTCCACTCCGGGCTGGGGAACCTCCATTGACGTGCCGGTGACGCCGCCGCGCCGCCGCCGCGGGGGGTTCCAAGCACCGCACAGGTAACGCGGCGGCTGCCGCCATGTTGGCGGCGTAGGGAGCGGGGAGGGGGCCCGGGAGCGCGTGGGGGGGGGGAGGCGTAGGCGGCGTGGGGGGCGGCCCCGCGGAGCTTTGCGGGGCGGGCGGCGAGAGCCGTGTGGCTGCTCGAAGGGAGGCGGTACAGAGTTGCCTTCTCTTTGGGCACAGCAGCGGGCGTCGGAGATCCCTCTCTCCCAGCTTCTGAGGTACCCGCCAGTGACGAGGTCAGCGATCACTGAATACGGGGCTCGGAGTCTCGGACTCGGCTGGGATCGAGCTCGCCAGACGGGATGTGTGGTGGTGCTGGATACAGACAGCTCCTGTTCGAGTGCTCCTGAAGAGGCGATGCTACCATTCGCTTCTCTGGAGGGTTCCTGGGACGAAGAAATGGAGGTGTTCGGCAGCGGCAGTGCGAGCAGCAGCGAGGTTAGTGTGGTGGGCGGGACCGGCTGGAAGTCTGCAGCCCAATGTCCCGGGAGATCCTGGCTGGGCGGCAGAGCAGGGTGCCGGGCAATCCCCCCCACCCCCAACCCCCCGTCCCGGGGGCCCAGACCTCTGGCGGTATGAGGGCGGGAAAGGGGACAGGAGCAATGAGCTCCAGCATGCAGACCTGACTCCTAGCTGCGGCTTGGCCTCCTCAGCTCTGAGCTCCGGAGGTGCGGCCACGCTAGAGTTTGTTCTAAGTTTCTTCACTTCCAACCCGAAGCGGGACTGGGGGACACGCGCGGTTCCTTGCCTGACTGCTTGCACCATGCTGCCTCTGCTTTCTGAGAATTGGAGCCGAGGATCAGAGCTTGCTGTTTATGATTCCACTGCTTTATGAATTCAGGGAAACAGAAACACACCAAGGTGACCAACTCTGGGGACTTTAACCCTGAGGGACAAGTATTCCTTGGTAACAGCATTCTTATTTCTTTGCAACCAACTATTTTCTTTCTACCTTAGGTAAGAACTGGGAGTCAGTATCTGTGTACAGGTGAACTGCTGTTGCCTGTTCTAAATTCCCCTTACTCCTTTAGCTTAACTTCAATCAATCCTTCACCTTTTCCCAGCTTTCATACCTGACCGGTTGGTGGGTAGCAGAGGCAAAGTGATTCCCAGACCTTATGAGACTGATTTTTGTAAAGCTTAGCCAAGTTGAACCAAAATACTTCCGTTCTCCCCTTTTCCCGCCGTTCTTTCTAATGAAACTGTACTGCCCGTGTTTTTCACTTGGGCCATGAGAACTTAGATGTGCACAGGTATTTTATTGTTTTGTTACAAAAATCGAGCCATGTTTAAACACAGAAACCTACATATTGTGATAGAAAGTTGGAGCCTTTCCTAGTCACTTAATCATAAGCATAGTATTCCAGTAGAGGCCACCATACACCTCCTAAAATAGTTGTTGAATACCAATTTGAGTCACAACACAATGTTTTGAGGTAAGACTCCATATCCTCTAAATCTCAAGGATGAGCCTTTGTCTTCAAGTGCAGTTCCAACTGTAGAAAGGCATACCTTGGTTTACTGTATGGTTACTTGTCCTTTCCCCTTTACATCGTTTTAATTTTAACTAGGGTTAGAGTACATATTAGAATAACTTGCAACAAGAGATTTTATGGAAATAAATTGAGAACTAATTCCAAAATGTTTTAATATTCTACATCTCTTAAGAATGGGTTAAAAGTGAGATGAATGAAAAATGTTAATTTTTCTTAAAATGTGGAAATCTAACTGCATGTATAAAATGTCTAACCAGACTATGGGTGTGTGGGGATTTCGTTTCATTCATGAATTACAGTATTTAATTTATATAGGAAGTACGGCTCTTTCAAATATCCACTATTTTATTTTTAGTTTTTTTGTAGTATCTTTTAAATTGTAATTAGCACATAGTTTTTTTTTAATTTGCTGTGTTTTAGATGCTGTAGATATCTAACAATAGATCTCTCTACCTCTGCAATTTTGAGAAATACTCCAGTGTAGATTGGTAAATCCTGTGAAGTAAAACCAAAGGTGAAAATAATGTAGTGAAGAGAGTATTTCTGCTTTCTTTGTCTAAAACTATTATGCTTGGTTAGATGTAACAGAGCAAATAACTTTACTAAAAATATTCAGGGTGAAATTTTAGTGCTACATGTTGAGAGACCCATTTTGCTTTTATTTCTTGTACTGATAATCTGTTCATAAGAAGAAAAAACACTGTTTTACTATTTATAGAATTTATATTTTCATCACATACTTTGATATTGACTTTCAAAATTCTAGCTTTTAAGGTTGAACTTTATATTCCTCAACTGTGATAGTATTTATAACAAAGGTATCTTCATTTTGTTACTATGTGTGAATATATTATTTATTATATATAACAGAATATATAAAATGTGCTGGAATCCTTAAAGAGAATATATATATATTAATTCTGATGTCAAAAGGAATAATTTCTCTCTCAAATACTGGTAAGATTAATTAAGAATTATTAAATCATAGACACTCATATATTTCAGAGTGTTTTTCAGTGTCTTTTACCTTTCTTGCTTATATGAGCAGTTGACAACTTTAGAATTATCTTTCAGCAGTGTGTAAATTGATTGTTTGAGAATCTTAACATGTTTTCCCACAAGAAAACCATTGGCAGAAACAGTTTTAGATCAATGCACAATAGCAAGCCATGCAGATGAAGAGACTAATTACTGTTTGAAAAAATTTCCTATGGGAAAATGTGTCAGGGTTTCAATCAAAAACTAGTTTGGCTTCAGTGAATAGCAAGTAGAAAATGGGCCTGCAGAAGGAAGAAATGGACTCCAGTGGCTCCTGGGGAAAATTTTGTAGAAACAGGGACATAAGATAAGCAAGAAGCTCTGGTTGTGAGAGCCCTTGCAGGCACTGTCTCAATTAGGTCTGCTGGGAATAATAACTTCAAAGGGCATCACCCCTCAGGCAGCTGCAGGTTTAGCTCTTGCCTGGATTCTGTCAGGATCAGGGAAGAGGTGTTACTTGAGATGGTAGTGGTTGTTTCTGGGCAAGGGTCATAAAGAACAGCTTGTTTGAGTACCATGAATTCTTCATGAATTAGTTCCATGAACATTGCAGTTTGCAGTTTGTATAGTAGTTTGTGGGATTTTTGTTTGTTTGCTTTTTTTTTTTTTTGGGGGTGAGGGAGTATTTGGTTCCTTATGGAAGAATTGATTATAGTGTTTTTATGTTTTGATATTGATATTGCATATCATATAATATGTACTAGAATTCTGGTATTTTTATCAATAAGTTATTGTTTAAGGAAGTTTGGGAAGTAATTTAATTCATTGATGAAAGCTATTTGAGCTATAGTCATTAAAATTTTAACCAGGGTAGATAGAGAAAACTTGCAAGATTTAATTAATTTTTATGACACTCTGTAGTAATAAAGAACATGAGCATTGAAAGCAGATGAATCTGTATTCTAACCCCTGAATAGATATCTGATAGTACATGTTACTTTTATAAATGGGAAAAAATACTTTCATAAGTTCTTATGTAAAAGAAATTTGGTGCTGGTTTTAATACAGTTAACGAGTTAACTTTCATATAGAATGTGTCAAATAATAGTTTCTTTATTTTCCCATTAAATTCTTAATTATTACCATTAATATAAAAACATGGGTGTGTAGATAGTTATAACCATAGCCCCAGACTTCCTACAGTGACTTTTTTAAAGACCCCCTTAAATCTGATCATTTCATTCAAAGTTATTGATGTTCTCATTCTGCATCATTGTAATAATAGATGGGATGATACAGAAATAAATACATCATATTTAGGAATACTTAGAGGGATAGAAACAGACAAATTTTTTTTTCCTGCAAATGACTAATGAAGCATTTCATTGACATTCTGTTTTGTTAGGTTTTGTTGTTGTGCTTGTGATTCTTTAGTGTGCATTGAGTATAGATGACACATTATAGTGCAATAATGTGAAATGCCTGAAGATGCATTCCTAATTCATGTTCTTCCCTCATTTGTTTAATTTAGATGAGCAAAACAGGAATTTGAGAAATTGTTGTTGTAAATGGCACATGACCATTAAAGAAGGGGTGCTGTGATGGCAATGGTGGTTTAGGGAATAGATCTGGTAAGGCCTTGTGAAGGAAGTTGGATTTGATTAGGGTATTTTAGAGTGATAGTATTTCCATAGTGGTGAAAAAAAAAAATTCAAATGGATGGAGACAGTATAAGCAAAACAGTACTAACTTTGGAAAGGAGAGATGTGTTATCACTGGGCTGTGAGTCTGTGTTGTAGGAGTGGGGATATTTTTTGGAATTGCATGAATCCAGATTGTATGGGTCTTTTAAAATAAGTTTATGTCTAAACTTATAATTTGTAAATGTAAACTATTTTAGGGCTATGAGTCTGTGTTGTAGGAGTGGGGATATTTTTTGGAATTGCATGAATCCAGATTGTATGGGTCTTTTAAAGTAAGTTTATGTCTAAACTTTTAATTTGTAAATGTAAACTATTTTAGGACATTAAGTGCCATCATATTTGTGCTTTGAAACTGACCGGTGGCATTGCAGGGGATATATTGGAATGGAGGAAGTACTAAAGATGGGGATATCAATTAGGAGACTATTTTATTTTCGAAATAGTGAGATTTTTTTGGAGGAGAACTGGCAGGGTAGCAAGATTGGAGACATCTTACAGAAGAATAGGTAGAACACAGTAACTGATGTTGGAAAAAAAAGAGGGTAGACTGAACAGCTGGCATTAGAATCCTGATAGTATGAATTAATTTAGTTTAACAGGTAGTTAATGTGTGCTTGCTAATATAAATATGCTAGCCACTAGACTACTGGAGATAATATATCTTAGAAGTAGAAAGAGAAAGAAAATCAAGGTTAACATCTTTCCTCTCTGGCATTGTCTTGAATGATACCAAACTACTCCTATTTGGCTATCTTTATTATGGTTTAAAATATTTATTACTAATGTACTTATTATTAGCTAAATTTATTCATGCTTTTAAAATGATCCTTATGTACATTATTCTTATTTCACCAATATATATTTGAAGTGATGAACAGTCATGTATGCAGAATGCATTTCTAGAATCCTGGGGAAAGAGTCAGAAGCATCTGAATTTCTTATATACTTTTACCAGGTTTATATAGAATACATCCCTCTCCCATACAGGTCCCTTCCTGGTTCTTACAAGTTTATCTTTAAACCATTCTGGTCTCCAAATATTCAGGCCAGTTCATTCTAGGGCAGGGCCTCTACGTTTCCCTACCTTGATTAATTAATTCATCATGAGACGTAATCACTACCTTTGATGTTCCATAATAGGGCCTGCCAATAGTACAGCTGATTTTTTGAACCACATTATTTAAAATTATGCACACATAGACTTCTCATCTCTACGTTTGAGAAGGAAATCAAGATATTTTTTCTTCCTGTGATTGTTTTC